GCATAAACGTAAATCTAAGTTAAACAATAAATTCATTGTCGGGATAAGTCGGCTCGGGCAGATTTTTTTTACTTTTCACAGTACAATAAAAATTAAGTTACAGAAACATTAAACAGATATAGGGGTGACTATTATATTAAAGGACATATATATAATGATTGTATTGATAAAGCGCCCTTCATCAAATATCTCAAAAGCGCTGTACAAGACGCAAGCAGCAGACCCTCGGCACGGCGACAATCGACCAAAGTGACGGTCAAGTCATTAGAGTAATTTTTGAAAAACGTGAACGCACGTGTCGTGCGCGTGGCCGCCGTCGCCGGCAGCATCACCAAGGAGCGCACGGAGGTCGTGCTGCAGGGCACGGCCAGCGTGGACCCGGCGGACGCGGCCACCGAGTGGGAGGAGTACGACTTTGTGTGCAAGCCGGGCGACACGCGCCGCCGCCCCTGCCTCGTCTCGCCCTACCACTACCGCCTCGACTGGCTCATGTGGTTCGCCGCTTTCCAGGTGCGTTCGGCCGCCTCGCCAGGAGCCTTTTTGACTGCCCCCTCGGAATCCGTCTTCACTGTAAACCGGCTTCCGCTGCTCCCTTGAAAGCCGTCTCTCCTCCCTCGTCCATCCTGCTGCTGCTACTCCCTGCCACCAGTTATGACCAGGCCTAACCCTATCACTTTCCCTATCACTTCCCCTACCCTTATCACTATCGTAACCCCTTTCACTACCCCAACCCCTATCACTACCCCTGACTTCCCCTATCACTACCGCTACTCCCTGACCCTGCCCCCAGCTACAACCAGCTCCACCCAAACCCCTCCTTATCCTCTCTCAACTATCACCAAAACTACACCACCACTTTTGATAAACCACACTTTCAACAACTATCATCTCCTGTATCATTTGATCTTGGCTGTAAAGCGCCTGGGAATAAGGCACTGTATACATCTAGATGATAAGGTGATGATGATGTTCCGTTTACTGTTTTCACAATATTTGTTTTGTTCAAAACGTGTTTTTTGCGTTGGCGCTGTCAGTTCTTTATTAGCTAGGAGGGGCACGGTAAGTCTCGTACAGACGGTTCAAAATGGACGAAACTTTAGCATAAAGTTCTGTAGATATTTGGAACTTACCCTTATGAAAATTGGCCAAATTGATCTAAGGGTTTGCCAGAACCTATAGATCCAATGCAGAGCAAAAAAAAGCACAATTTAAAAATATGAAATGCAGTTTGCTCTGACAGCTGCCATAGCACTGATGAGATACTTCCAAGGACGAAGCCATTTTGGAAAGCTAGCCATGATCTTTGTGTTGTATGAATTCCATGACTTGCCTACTCTCTGATATAATTTTAATCAAAGTTAATTAATGAATTTTAAATGATAAAATATACTTCAGAACCCTCGAGGAGTGTTAGTAATTAGTTTTTTAATCAATGTTATGAATTTATTACTGGAAAAATTAATGCATATATTTGTCATTTTAATTAACTGTGTCATTGGGGTGTAAATTTTATGAATGTGTGGCCATTAGCTGTCTCGCCATTTTGCCTCAAATAACCCCAATAAATATCTTTTTACAGATTTTTTTTTCTTTTAATAGAACCCGATGACATGTAATATCTCTGGGGCGTTGGCAGAGTAGTTAGCGCTGTGCGCTATGAACCCAGAAGCGTGGGGATCGCTCCGCGCACATCAGTGGCGAGCGATGTCTGAACCAACCTTGCGCGCCCCCTTCAACAATCCACACTTTACTCAGCATGGTGAAAACTAAAAATAACAACCATTATCAACATTGCATGGGAAAGCCTTCATCCCGTATTGGATTGATTAACCGCTGCAAATCAATGTGATTATTTTACGCGCAACTGCAGCGGCCATAGTAAATCCTCAGCTCATCAAAAAGATCGGCAACACGTCAACGCCGACGTGAAGCGTTGCTCGATGAAGTGTTTAACGAACGCGGCGTTGTCCCTGTTGTTCAATAAGACGTACGAGCAGAACCCCTGGCTTTTGCATCTTGTCGGGAAGCTGCTCACCAACGACAACCAAACGCTGTCTCTGATGGGCAAGAACCCCTTTGAGGGCCGCGACCCTCCCCGGTGAGTGGCGACCTTTCTAAAATCCACAGCCACTTGTTTACCCCTTTTCCGCTGTACTGACTGAGCCGTGCCGGGGCCGTACCGAATGAGTCTGGCGCGGCTCAGGAGGCGCCAGTTGACATTTCCGCTGCAGACGCCGTGCCGTGTTGCTGACGTCGCAAACAATAATCGATTCGGAGACGTGCGTAGGATGGCGTGGAAATGCAACGAACACACCATCGGCTCACTCGCGATATACACATCGAATCGTGTGCATGAAAATTGCTCATTTACAATGTATGCAAATAATATAATAATCTGACACTCGGCCTCATGAAAGCAAATCTGTATGAATGAGTTTGGAAAGGAGTTTGATAAAAATGTTCGCCAAAAATATTCTAATTGATCCATGATTCGAATCACTCGGATGATAATATCCCGTCGCATAGCGTTGGCTGGACAACCCCGAAACCACCGTACCACGACAAACACCATCCCATTACCGCACAACTGTTAACGACGGCTGCAAGGTAAACCTACCAGCCGGGAGAGGCCGCTAACACCATCGCCTTGCAGGTGGATAAGGGCGCAGCACTTCCGCTACCAGTTCAGCGAGCCGGGCAGCGCCCGCGCGTCCGCCGGGCACTGGTGGCAGCGCAAACTCCTCGACCGCTACCTGCCGCCCGTCAACCTCGACTCGCTCGCCGCGTTCTTCCGCGCGCAGGAGTGGCCGCATCTCCGCGCGCCCCGCAACCAGCCCATTTAAACGCCGCTGCGCTCCCGCCGTCGCTCCCGAAAAACAGGGAAAACAACAACAAAAAACGAAGCACGTTTGCGGCGCAAAAAGCCGTGATGTATGTTAAAGTTCTTTCGCGCCGCACGCAGGCCAACCGTGCTAATCGTGCTTCGCTTGGCGACAGATGTTTGGGTGAACGACGGAAAGGTGGCGGTGGCCGGCGAGGCTGCAGGGAAGTGTGCGCCCACTGCTGTTGTTGTTCAGCTTCGTGCTGCTGCTGTAGCCCCGAGGGTGCTTAACGACATTAGCGTGTGGCCGGCAGGCCCACGTGACGTCACACGTCCCGTAACGTTTTAACGTCACAGTGTCACGCGTACAGACGTTTATGACCTTGCGTGTCTCCGTGACGTCGTAACGTCCGCACGCGCGACCAGTAATCTGTCCCTCTCTCGTCTCAAGGGCTCTTGCTTATCTTGCTGTCATTGCACCGTTATCGTTACCATCAGCCATGGTCAATCCACTGCTGGATGAAGCCCTCCCAAAGCTGCCCCCCCCCCCGCCCCCTTTCGCAATCCTGCAATCTAATAATCGTCACAGCACCTGCTCGACACACGAACTGATTTCATCGCTCCACCTTCCCAATGGACATCCTGTCGGACGCGTTCCATTCCTTGGCTGCCACTGCGTTACGATCCGCGGCTGCTTTTATCTCACAAATTCTTATCCCTTGTCTGGAGCGTACTCATAGCTTGTTTAATATCTCACCTTACTAATCTGTCACTGTTAGTTTACCATATCTCTCAATGTACCACATTTGACCTATGGGCCCCCAGTTGAAGAACCTTGCCATATCGATTATTGGGAATCATGGTGTTGTTATTGCACTTATTACCCTTGATATTGGGCACATTTTACACCAGCCATACCCTAATTTAACACGACCATGGGCACTTAATACGTTTTATAGGGGGGGGGGGGGGGAAACACCTAGTTTTGATTATAATTTTGTGAATGTTTACTTCTCCCCACCATGTACTACGCATACCAAGTCTACTGTACGGAGTTATTCTGTAATCGGAAACTTTGCACTGCGGAGACAGTAACGCCGATCGATTGGGGGAGACCATCAAACAATTACCTCGAGGTTCTCTATTGGTGGATTATCTGGCTTGCGGATTAACCGTCATTGTGAAAAAATAAAATATCTATGTACGTACCGATTCTATTAACTTTCCGTTCATCGAGGGACAGTGACCCGGTTTTCACTCCACCACAAATAAGTAAATGCAAGCACGTGGCTTTAATTCAAGAAAAAAGATATTTAAATAGCTGAGTGATGTGTACGTCACGTGTTTTCTGCCCGGCCGTGTAGAAACACGAGTTTGTTCTACTTCTTCACACGACATTCTACTTAGGTCAATAGTAAATAAGTTTTACAGAATATTTTTTGTTTATCTATCCGAGCCATCATTCCTCTCCCATTACCTCGGGAAATTCAGAGTTGGCTGCATGATCAGGCACTGCGGAGCTTGTCCCAACACCTGTCTAGCGAGTCACATTTAAAGAATGTGGAATTGGTTTATTTTCAAGGATTACAAGTCTGGAAAGACTCAACATTACGTTACTTTATTGTATGTTTGGAAGTCAAAGCATGAAGTGTATTTTTTTTACCAGAACTCAAGAGACTAGGATAGTCTCATTTGCAAAGTATGTTCCACTCTGAGTTACCTTTTGTTGAACTGTTTTTGCCAAATCAAACGATTGCCAATTTAACGTTGTGTTTTCTTACAATCGTCGGCAGTGTGCGTTCCCAGTAAACATCACAACGTTGGGCCAACGTTAGAATGTGGTTAGAAGCTTTTGGACACTCGGCCCAACATTCCATATTTTCTGGATCAAGACTGAAACTTTACTTCACGAAAACCCTTCTACTCTGGGCAGGAACAAGGGAGGGGGTGAGGCCTCTTCAGGTTGAGAGTGAATGGGTAGCAACAAGGGGTCATTGCCGCAGGGAGGCGAGGTGTTCCACGCGTGTGTCTCAACGAGACGACCCAGCAACACGCAACCGATGGGTCACTGCCGGCACGTGGTTCGGTCGGCAGCCATCAGATCGGCAGGCAACGTTTTTTTCCTTAATGTTGGCCTAACATCCTGTTACGTTTCATGCAACACCAAAAAAACCACTGCTGTATGAATAAAGATTTATTTTGTGGCTCCAAATAAATGTCAATTTGGTACGGTGACCATCAGAAGCGTGTTTCCGTGAATTATTGCTACTTGTGAAATATGCCGTCTGAGCGACGCCAAGTGTATCATTTACACACAACTCCGTTGTGGATGACGTCAACATTTTTTTGTTTGTTCTAGATTTGAAGCTTTCGTGACTGCAAGGATTCATACTCTTAGTTTTTTCGGTAAAGTCACGTAGGTAAAAAATGACTTTACCGAAAAAACTAAGAGTACTTTTTTTTTAGATCAAATCTAAAATAAATTTTCAAGCGAACAACCGTCAATTATATCTGAAATGAATGCCTGAACGTGGTCATCTTGTGTGGTTGAGCGAGCAAACGAGGATGAAGGGTTCTCGAAGTATACATGACAAAACTCTAAAGCGGAGGTGCAAAGAGGAGGTATGAGCACGCGTAACGAGTGCACGCAGTTGGTCGCTGATATCACGGGGCGTGGACGTGCTTTATCGGCTCTTGCGGGGCCAAGCAGATCGAGGCCTCGAGGTGCCCGGCTTCACATCTTTGGCAGCATCGAGGATGGCGCCGCTGCTGCTGCTGCTCCCGCCGTCGCTGCTGTTCACGGGCGCTGGCGCCTGGCCATTGGCACCCGCTGCCTGGACCTGCATCTCTTTCAGTTGCCTCTTGTGGTCGCGCTGGTTCTCCATGATGAGGCGCACCTTCTCGCTGATGTGGGCGAGCATCGCCAGGTTGCTCTGCTCCTGAGCTTCTTCGTCCGCGCGGGTGGAGCATTCCCTCGGCTGCTCGGCTTTGAAGCGCTTGCCGTTGCCTGCCATCGAGGACGCGTGAAACAGTTTGCGCTTTTCGGCCCCGTCGAGTCTGCCGCCGTCGACGAACCCATCGGCGTAGCCGCCCGACTCCATCTCGTCGATGATGATCTCCTCCTCGTCGATCTCCACTTCGACGATTTCCTCTTCGGTGACCTCGTCGGTGTCGTCGCCGTTCGACCCCAGCTTGGTCGCGGAACTGGTCAGGACATGTGCGGGGCTCGCCTCGCCGTAGGGCCTTTTGTCGGTGGCCGCCAGCATCGCGGCGACGCACGCCCTCACGGTGGCCACTTGTGTCTCGGACAGCGACGCTGTCCCTGTGACCTCGGCGGAGGCCCCCTGCCTTGCATCGCTGCCGGCCGATTGTCTGCTGAATAAAGTGCCGACAACTACGTTCCACGCACTGTGTAGCTGCGCAGAAAAGAAAAAAAAACACGGAACAGTTAATTGATGGAGAAACTTGAAACTATTCGGACGTTTCTTACTCGGGTAAATAATGAAATAATGCCCAATGTGCATACCGTGTCAACTCGTACGGTTTACCCCCTATTCTTTTGCAGGGAAATTGAGTTTTCAGGTCCATACGGCGTACAGCCGTTTCAATACGGGCAAAGTTTTTTGTATGTGTTTGTGTTTCTCCCTTGTGATGGGACTTTGTAGGATGAACGTTGAGATTTATAGGGGCACGGGATGACCAATAAGGTCTGGATTTGTCTGTCACAAGGTAGGCACTGATAGGGGGTTGACGGGTATGATTGTGTGAGTACTGTATTGGACATTGTCGCATAGCGGACCAGCTGAGAACAGAGGTACAGGCGTATATGTGAAAAAAGGTCAGATATGTGAAAATCCAAAGCGAATAAGAGCAACACCAATGCGCTAATGTAATACTGCGCTGGGTGTGCGCGCTGAACCAGCCATGTGCGGGGTCGAATCATTTTCCATTCAAACACGTCCCACGTGTTATTGCTTCCCATTTGAGCCCTGCAGCCACTGGAGGCGCTGCATTCACGACGATGTTAAAATAATCGATTCTCGAATCAGATCGCGACCTCGAAATCGAAAATGCGTCGACTCGGGAAGCAGGAGGGTCGTTTGCGATGTTCATTTAGAAGACGTCTCCAAGTCCCGTTCAGGCTGACGGACTTGAATGTTAATGCTTTATCGACAAACGTCCGTGCGTGTTGATTTAACCGTGTTCAATTAATATTGTAACCTAGTCCCCATCCCGTACCCAAAATAAACCAAACCACACAACAGTCTTGGGGACTCGGTAAACAATGACGAGGTGTAAATCAATTATCTTTAAGATCCACCCTTTGCCGTTCTCAAGACACCTGTCAGCCTCATTTGGGCCTTCGCCCGGTTTAAATCATAACAACAACAACAACGGAACTTTTACCGAACTCACCACGGAGATGACCGCAACTGCCACCGCCCGCAGGCCCCGCGCGACCGGCAGCAACGGCCAAGCGAGCAGATGGAGCAGCAGCACCGCCAAGAGCAGCAGCAACAGGAGGTCGCAGGCCTGGGCTACGCTCCAGCCGGCAGGGAGGGCACAGCAGGTCCAGCAGCCCGTGTCCTTGTCCGGCCGAGGCACGCACAGCACCGAGCGAGAACACGGAGATTCTTCGCGGTCCCACTGCCGTTCCTCCGCGTGTCCTGCGCCGCCGCTTCCAGCTCCTCCACGCGGCGTCCCCTCTTGAACTTCAGCACCACTGCCGGTGAGGACAGCGATCGCGTTGCCCATAGTGGGGGTTGGTGGGTCGGTGCGTGTGGGTCGTCCCCTGGACCCCCCCCTCCCTCCTCTAGGTCGACTCGACCTTATACGATGCCTGGTGCCATGTGGAAACGGGGATTGTCGAGATGAAGGCGGCCGTCCTGGGGTGATGATGGTGACGGCGGCAGCGCCGCCATCGCTTCCTTCCTCAGCCGCGTGCACCACCACCAGCAGCACCACCACCTGACCGGGACTCTGAATGGTGCTCGTGAACAACGCTTTGCCCCAACAGCCTGTGCGGCTATACCGGCGGGGGGAGGGCGTGTGGCTGTCTCGTGGGCGAAACTGTTGTTGTTGTTGTCGTTATACTGCACACAGTAAATGCCAGAGCTTCAGCTTGTTTCAAGATCATTTTGCCAGTGTCTGTCCAACAAAACGGGTGTTGTACTTCTTTTGAGTGCTGGGTAATGAATTCCCCTTGTCTCAGAATGAGAATTTTTTTTATATATATACTGGAGGAATCGGATCAGAACGCTACAACAAACAATACAAAAACACGATAGGAGTGCAAAGTATCAATAAGATAAACAAATCATTCTAGATTTGAACCCTTGATACAGTAAATTTAGCTGTGACGGTCCCACCTGATGACGGTGACTTGTGTTGCCTCCGAAACGTCGTGATTTATTTTATTTCTATTATTATTTCTATTATTTTTATTATTTATTTTTTACCTACGTGACTTTACCGAAAAAAACCTAAGAGTATGTAAACAAATCACTTGAAAATATATACAAATAAAACAACTATTTTTCTATCTCACCAAGTAAAGCCCACTGACCTCCTGGGATTCTTTTTCAGAAGCGACCTGGCTACACATGATAGCCCAATCACTGGGCTTCCGGTGTGATAAATATAACTCGGCAAACTGGGATCAAAATGTAAGTCGTGGCCATGCAACCCAAACTATGGGCCGTGCGGAAAAGCACGAAGTCTACGCTCTTTCAACGGAGCAGGAGGAATAGCAAAACTCGACGAACTCCCAACGCCTGGAGCCCTCTCGTCCTGGCTTCCAGACCTACACATTGACAACCAGCTCCTGAACTTATTGGCAGAGGCACGAATAGAATATCGAAATAATAAAGATGAATAACGTACTACATTCGGGAATTGCCTCGTTCATATAGCGCAAAGCTGCCGCTAATGCGCTGTTTCACAACGTCCGCAGTTTTTCACAGGCGGGGGAAATGTTGCGAGTAATCCCATTCTCGTTGTTTTCCTGGTGATTTGTTTTTTTAATTGGCGAGAATAAAATATGAAAGAATGTGTAAGTCGGGTGATTTGTTTTCCCAACTCGAGAGGCGTGTGCTTGGTAATGTATCGTTTGAAAGTGCAGCGTTGCCTGTGACCTGTCCCTGACTGAATTCATGTCACGCGTGGTTTAATTTCACGTGGGATTATTTCGCTGCGTCCTAAAACCATTGCTGGATGAAGGGCCGTGGGAGGTTATTTGACCATACTTCACCACGCTGATAATTGTAGGTTGGTGGAGGTGGGAAGCATAGAAGTGCAGCAGAACAATTCACTTTTCTGCATTGCCCACTGCGTGAAAGTGAATTCAGGTGCATTGGAAATCCAGTCATTGTAACTTGAACACAATGCGATGGGACTTGGGCTGTCGTGTTTGTGAGGCATACAAACAATGCATTTACCGAGCTGCATAGGACCCGACTAAGTCAATTCTACGTGAACACATGGCATCGCTATCCCGAAGGTATTACGATCACCGACATTATTGGTATGATCGATTTGAACTCGATATGAATGTATTGGAAGGCGTAGATTCAAGATTCAATTATTGTTTAATACTGAATGTAGTGGCCTCGAGTGGCTGAAGGGAATCACGTGAAGCTATTACATACAATATATGCATTGAAAAACAGCGATCTTTACATGTGCAATTCGATTAGATTCCATGGAGTATAGGTACAGATGCAATATTAATCTATATCAATAGCTGCATTGTCGCACCTAGAATTATTACGCCTATGTTTTCTCGCGTTCTTTTCAGGATATGCCATTTACAAGGCGAATCTCACAGTAGAAGTTTCAATACAACTGAATTGTTTTGGGTTATATATATACGTACGGCAGCATTGTTACCGTGGGGATGCAAATACTTGGCCCAAAAATAGTGCGCAATATAGCAACGATTACAATCCAACCCCAGCTCACAAGGAGTCATGTGATCTATCAGTTCAACAAAGTGTCCGCACCTTTGTGTAGAGCTGTCCCTACATCAGTGGCCTTGGAACAATGGCTTGTGACTGGCCAAGGCCAGGGTTACGTGTTTCCCCAGCGCCTTCACTGTGGCACTCCGTGGGAGGGATTTGAATCGGACAATGAGATCAGAATATCCATCTCATTGTGGTGCCGTTTGAATTCTATTCGAATCGAGGCAAAATTAACAAAAACAAATATTCGCTTAAATTACCCACTTGTTGTTACGGTACTTTAATGTTTACGAATGTGTAAAAGAAGTATATTTAAGCGTTATATTTTTTAAGGAAAAAAAAGTCAACATATATTTAAGTGGGTGCCACCCCAATCGGCAGTGGCAGTACAAACTGCCACCGCCGATGGGCACGGTTGGCTACGTACGGTGCGAAATAAGTCCAACATACATCCACGATGGAATCTTAGCCAAAGAGACCAGAATAGTCTCGTTTGCAAGAGTCACCAGGGTAATCATACTCACAAAAAGCAATGAAACACAGTCCAACAATATAGCAAATAGAAGTCAAGAGCAAGTTACAGCAGAGGTTGAAAACAGCACACAAACATCAATCAATATTAAATCAACTACATTTCTTGTCGTTGCTTCGAACACAATCGTTTTAAAACCAGTAACGGTAAGTTACAGAGGCATCTGAAGAGTGATTCCTGCACTGATGTTGCACAGTTGTACTCTGCTAAGGGTGGCCATTCTGCCGTGTGAGTTGGGTTTATCTGTCATTGCCTGCACTGTGGCCACGATGGCGCACTGCTAATAATCGGGTTATATGAGCATGCATTGTAAATTGTTACGCGATATATTCAAACTGTACAGTATATTTGTTGAATAAATTACATATAAATTTTTGCTGCTTAGAAATTTGTACGAGGTATACGCACTATGCTGTATATATATATCAGTATATATCTATGCAACGTAGTGTTACATACTTAAATATGTATTTACATTTCAATACATAACATGATTGTTATTATGATTTTTATTATTTTCCCCACACAAAGCGATAGTCCCGATCCGTTTCTGCTCTGCCCCATCTCTGGAGCTGCTGTTCAGTTTTTATCGCAATGGATGCAGTCTGACCAAGGTGAGATGTAAAATAATGTCAGAGGTCTCCCTCCCATTCCCTCCAATTCCTCTCGCGCCTTTGAATTGCTGCCTTCTGTGCGACGGGTCTACACTCACCGACTGTTCGTCTGGCCTGCACTCCCTGCAGTGAACTGTTTACATGCAGTGGCGTAGCTGCTGAGTGTGCAGGCGGTGAAATGCGCCAGGTCCCGTGAGCTACGGGAGCCCAGGTCTCAAGTTACAGAGAAAGAGAAAAATATTGTACAGGAGATCCCATTTTAGTGTTGGTACCAAGGCCCATGCCAACCATGCTATGCCACTACTTTACATGTCAACTCTGTGCAGGGTTTCTGCATCATTTGTTTTGGGAGTTTTCTTTGGATTCATACTGCCAGTCCTTTTGGAACTCGTCATATTATGTGGGCATTGCTCAGGTGTATAATAACAACAATAACCACCATATATTTGCCTATTGTTTTTCTGTCCACTTGTTTATGGATGGCACAGTTTAATTTTGCTGAGTGCAGCTCATATATTTGACGTGAAGAACTGCAGTCTGCCAACTCTGTATGGAGATGTATGCACTGTCCACTCTAAGATGTGTTGAAATCACATTGTGCCCGTGTGTGTGGACTACGAAAACTGATTTTTAAAATATGGCTCCCCCCCCACCCACACTTCCCGCTTGTGTTAGCAGCATCATACAAGGATACAAATAATCCATTTGGGAATCTCACAGAAGTGTTTCGAGAATGGACTGCAAAATATTTAACATTTTTTAGCGGAAGCGACCTTTTAATCCTTTACACAGTACGAGGCTCACTTTCACACGAGCTCTGCCATGAGATTGTAACGTGACAATCCAATATCTTTTTTTTCCAATTCTCAGAACAGGTATTGGTCAAACCGACATTAGAATTTCATCAAATCAAATTGCAAAACCGTATTTAATATACATTTTTCGGCAGTCATTTATATTCAGCTGAGACCATCAAAGCATTAAACTTCAGAATCCGGTTTAATCAGGCGGATCAATGCCAGATCCAGACGGTGGTGGCACACGCCTATAATCCAACACTGCGGAGGTGAGGGTTGGTAGATTACAAATCCCTTGGGCATTGAGGTGCCATACCCTGGCTTGCCAGGCGAACGCGGGAAAACGAACGTGGACTCCCATCGGTTCCAAATGGATGGGATGAAGCCTCTCCCCCGTGCACGCATGGGTTTTGTCTGGGCGTCCACTTTTCTCCCACATTAAAAAAAATATTAAGAGGCTAAAACGCCTTTATATATAGAGGGCCACAGAGCTTGGGAAACTGTTGGCATCTGCTCACCACATGCTGTCTGTGTGTCCCCGCGATACAACCCGGAGGCCGATGCAGCACAACGGCGAAAGCCTACGCCGTAGCCTTAAAACAGGCCGAGAGACCGCAATGACGAAGTGTCATCTTTACGCGGAGACAAAGTGTGCTCCTGAAGCTGCAATGCAATATGTTTTCTTAAATCACTGTCGCCGACCACAGGCCCAGAGCTCCAGAACGCCATGCAGCCATCGACAAAACAGCACCCTCGAAGGTGCGAGAAGAGATGAATGAGGGTGGACACGTTCCTTGACTCGAATTGTGACGTCTAGAATGCGCTCTTGGCCAGCTTGGCCGCGCGGAAGGCCTGCATCACACTGGAGCACTCGCCCATCCGGTGGCATTCGTCGGAGGCGGCGTCGGTGGCGGCCTCGGTGGCGGCGGAGGCGCCGGCGGCGGTGCCGGCCGCGCGCGCCGTCCCGAGGGGCCGCTCTCCGTTCTGCGGCGCGGGCCCGCGGCCGCCCGGGGTCGCCGGCCGGGCGGGCCGGCCAGGGGCGGGGGATGGCGGGCGGCGCGCATTCCTCCTCAGCAGGCGCAGCGCCGCCTCGTCCCAGTCAGAGGGCAGCAGCAGCAGCGCGAAGGCGGCACAGATGAGGAGGGTCGCGTTGAGCCGCACGGCGCTGAAGTCCACGTCGGACCGCAGGGCGTCCGTCACTGCACAGACCACGCATCGGCGACGTCCCCGTTATAGAGCAGCCCCCCGCTGACCTTGATCCCTTGCGTTACCAGGTAATCGCGTATGCGCGCAGCCCCTTTCGTCAATCCGCTGCTGGATGAATGCTTCCCCACCCCGTGCGGGTCATCGGGGTTATTTAACGATACCTCGCCACGTTCGTCATGCGGTTTGGCGAAGACGGAGAGCACGAGCTATTGGAGCAGAGTACAACACAACCGTGGATTTAGCTCCACTGCTCTCTGCTAAACCTTATATTTATATAGTGCCTCATATCCAAGGCGCTTTACAAGGGTTATAATGGTACAATGAGGTTGTCTTAGGGTGATATGGTGGCATAGGAGGAGGAGGAGGGAAAGAGGTGAGGAGGTAGGGATGGAGAGAAGCTCGTGGGAACAGGGAATCACGGTGGGTGCCGAGGGATGAAGTATGGACCAGGGAGAATACGTGGGGGTCTTGAGGGAGGAGCGGAAACTCGACAGGGAGAGGGGAGCTTCTCGCTGCTTCATGTGGAGGGGAAGTTTGCTCCTGGTGCAAGGGGGCGAGTAGGGAAAGGAGCGGAAACGGTGGATGGTGCACAAGGAGAGGGGGAGGTGAGGAGTGGTGGGAGGGATTGAGAGCGGAGCGGGCGGGAGGGGACGCTGTGTGTTGTTTATCGTGATGCTCGCCCATTGAAACACGATCCAGGCTCAAGCCTGCTTAGCTTCCGAGATCTGACAACAGCGCGCACATTCACCGATATTATTTGGTCATCGGCGTATACAGCTGATCCGACAGCTGGATACGTTTCACGCGAGAGCCAATGCTGCCGAAATGATTTTAGCAACACCGTCACCTAGTTGTCCATCTTCACGACTGTATACTGATGCCAGGTATTCCACTGACTGTATATATATAGCCGGCATCTAATTGATATGGATGTCCCAAACCTAATGGAAAAAAATTATTTTTACATACTGGTGAGTAAGGGGTGATTTGGCCAGATCAGAGCTTAAAACTGGGATGTTACCCAGGATGATAGGATTATGGCGCCTGCCTTTATTAACGAGCATCAAGGGACCGTGAATGATTATCCGCGAGGTGATGCAGGTAAAGGTAAATGCAAAGGCGCTGCCTTGATGGCAAAGAAGGGCCTCCACTAGCAGCAGCTCTACAGAGCCCCTCCAGATTGTATGTTTTTGGCCTACTCTTCCACTCTTGACAGACGGTGATACAGGACCACAGGATTGTTGTCTCATCTGAGGACGACGTTTCCTTGCAAGTCAATCCACTGCTGGATGAGGACCACCTGCCACCAACACCGAACGAGTCGTGGGATTGTTTCATCACAATTCACCACACCGGTCAATGCAGGTTGGTGAAGGCCGGTAGCATAGACGTGGAAGCATAGTGCAGTACAACAATGGATTTTGCCGCACCGCCTCCTGGTGTAGGGTACTTGCCTGCGTTTCCTGGCACACTGAGAAGCACCCCCAGGGAGATGAATATCGGGTAGGTGACCACCACTCCAAAGTTAACCAGAACGTTGAACACTGAAAATCAAACAAAACACCATGACAACGTTTTTGGAGCAAAGCCAAGTGAGCAATAAACACATCTTGAAATATCAACTGTTTTATTGTTAATGATTTTCAAAGTATACGGGGAATTTTATTTTATTTGTAATTTCAAGGCTCGAAAATGTTTGAGACGTGTTGAAACAGCGTTGAGGAATGGCTCTCCGTTGGAACAACTTAGAGGCACTAAATGGAAGGATGCGTTGGAGCAGTGGCACAATGGTTAGCGCGCTCGACTCTGAACCCAACAACCTGAGTTTTGTAACCAGCATGGTGAAGTATGGTCAAACAATCCCCATCCAAAGGTGGATTGACAAAGGTGCTGTGAACCATCATCATCATTACGACGTAATGGTCGGAGTGTGTTTCACCAATTAGCATGGTCACGTAAACGTGACAAAATCACGCACGGTTTGCGTGCAAATAAATGTCCTGGCACAATCGATCAGAGGTACAGAGACGAATGATGCCTCTGTTTGTTCACACTATGAGACCTCCTTTACCAGTAGCAAAATATAGTAATAGGTTTTTACCCTTTCATCTGGTACAAAAACTGACACCTTTATACAAGGGATCATGTTTGCAATAACCACAATACAAGCAGTCAAAATGCAAACAAAAAGAAACAACTCTGATAATGATAATGATATGCACTGTCCTTGAAGTTGATTGGTCCACACCCGAGACAGCTTTTCTTAGAGCCTAGTCTCCATTGGTGTTGGACCAGATGACGCCAAAAGGCGTATAAAGGTGTCAGTTTTTGTACCAGATAAAAGGGTTAAAACCTATTACTCTATTTGTTCACCCTGGTAACGATCTGCAGTCCTGGCGCATTGCTGCCTTGATACATCTTCACTGTTTATGACCAAATCCTATGTCCTATTTCTAACACGTATCTTGTCATTTCTGTCCAGTTTATTCAGTCCTTTTTATTATCACAAAGGAACAATCACCTGTGATTTGCATATACTCTGCAGGCATTGCAAACAATACGGTATACCCTTAAGCCACACTAATGCGAGGTTGCGAGCGGAAAAATCGATGTTAATGTATGAAATTATCCATGCTTACTTGCCAACTGGAAGTGCCTCAACGAGTCCGAGAGCTCAATCTCTCAAGGAGTCCCTACTGGGGAGGGGCCGCTTGCAAGCCAGAGGTCACCGGTGTCAATCTCCCGGGGCGGAATTTGGAAACAAGTTTATTAAATTCACCACCCCCGCCGCTTGCCCCCCCCCCCTACCATCTCTTGTCTACCCAGCAGTATAAATTCATTTGTCATTTATAACTATTTTGTAACTCTTTTTTTTTACCAGATAATTCCCACTATAGTACTATACCGCCTTCAACATTTATGAACGACGGGGTGTTTAAGGTGAGCGATTTGTCGTATTATCTGGCCGTATAGCAAATAAAAAAATACAAATACTTTACAAGTAAAAAATGCGTGATTAAATATTTATGTGTTTTTTTTTTTCATTTAGGGCCCCTTTATAACATATGCTACAAGCCCCACATTAGCTTAATCCGGCACTGCGTCCATGCCCATACATGTTCTCATGATCAACAACAGCCACAATGTATCTGTGCCCGTATGAAGTCCTGAAAAGAATGGATGTCGACTCGAGACGACCGAGTCAAGTAGAGGAATCTGCACTTCTTCGGACACGTGACCGGGATGAATGGTGACCGGCTGCAGCGCCGCACCGCACGGCCGCCGCCGCCGCGGCGCGAGGACGCACCGAGCAGCAGGCAGGCGAATCCGCACACGTGGCCCCAGGGTAGGGCGGCTGGCGAGGGCCAGTACTCGACGTGCGTGAAGTACAGCGCGACGGGCAGCACCCACACGAAGAGCAGGTCGAATAGTCCCAGCGACGAGAGGAACTGTGACGCCTCGCCAAGCGTGGCGCTGCCCAGCAGCATCTTGCACAGGATCTGCGGGGGGCACGGCGAGTGGGGGGAGAGGGGGGGTTGCTTTAATCGACGGCCCTGATCGTCTAGCCGCCGGGAGCTCGCGGACGGATTTGCATCGCCAGAGAATCGCCCGGGCATGGGCCCCCGGGTCTCGTCAGATCTCAAGAGGCTAAGCGACGGTTGAGCCTGGCGAGCACTTGGAAGGGAAGACTGGCAGGGAATATTCGGCACTGTAGGTTTGGGCTACAAGGTGGACAGGAGATGGTGGTAGATCAGTGGATTCATACTCTTGGGTTTTTTCGGTAAAGTCAGGTAGGTAAAAGATAAAAAATAATAGAAATAAAATAATAAATCACGACGTTTCGGAGGCAACACAAGTCTCCGTCATCAGATGGGACCGTCACAGATAGATTTACTGTCTCAAGTAAACCCACTCACTACGTCAAGGGGTGGAAACTGGAGTATGACATTAAAACGAGACTCACAAAACAGCAATTATTAACGGTGGTATGTTTCTCTTCTAAGACGTTTGGTCCAGCGTAGAAGAGTAGGCCAATAATACCTCCCCGTTAAGTGGTGGCTGTTCCTCAAGCAGTGTGGCATGAGAGACATGTCAGTGCTGTACCTTTACCGTTCATTACGTCTAATGTTTTTACTTGTTCATGTTCAAGCATTAATATGAATAAGTGTAACTTATCTGAATAAATAAAAAAATCTTACGTGTATTGCTTTTCATGGGGTTCTCATGGAATGTTGGGCCATGGACAAATTCCCCCATTTCCTCTCCACCCCATCCCCATCTCTCTGTCTGGCTCTGGCTGGAGGTTACACGAAGCACGTGCTGCAGTGGGTCGGCAGAGCAGCCTGTATGCCCTCTCAGAGTGGCTCGCCATCTCTGGCACGTGATGCACTGCAATAAGTGATGGGCCCTGGAAACAATTAAACCGTCTAGGAAATTAAACCCATCGTCTCGGCCCCGTTCTCTCCCCGGACTCTCTTTTCGGAATTATTAATGAAACTGTTTTTTATTTCCATAAATCCTCTGGAAGTGAATTCTTTAACACAAGAAAACGGTGAACTATTGGAACGGGTTACCCGCCAATTGAATAGAATCTGACTCTATAAAGAGTACACATGGCAGAGGCAATGTGAGAAGTAGGTCAGCGGGGACAAATCCAGACCTGGCTAAAGTATTTTCATGAGAGTCACCATCCATGTAACGTGCTGGCTACCGTCGTACCAGCTGCTCGATGCGGACCCTGTAAACCCTCCCTTCCAAAAAATACAACGATTTCGCACGGAAGATATGCTGCACTCACTAGCCATGTAACGATGATGCTTTGATGAAATCGATTCAAGTTGATTCACTCGCACATGCACATGCGCAGCCCTTTAGTCAATCCACTCGTACTGTTGCATTTGGTTTATTACTGCAGGAGGGTGCCAGGGGGATATAAAGCTCCAAATGCGGGATTGCTGCATTAACTGCAGATGTTACTTCAAGCTAACAGAGTTTCAAACAGGAATACTGCAGGCGAAGTTATATATATTAATGACGGCGCCAAGATGGCAGGGCAAGAGTCTTGACACATTGTCAAAATTAATAAATGCTTGTCTTAGAAATAGAACGATGTATACCAGCGTGACAATTTCAAAAGGAACATTAATTGTAGGATAACATATTGGTAATCAGCATAATGAATGGCACCTTGTAAAAGAACAAATGAGATTATAAACCCACAGATTACTGGATTAGCCTCTCCCTAGGGCGGTGTGTAGGCCATGGGGGTTAGAGGATCATACCTCAGCACGCTGGTCAGTGCGCGTATTGGTGACGGCAGAGAGCGCAGACGTGAGGGCATAGTGCAGTACAACAATGGGTTTTGCTGCGCCGCTGTCCTCTGCTGCCACATCAGCTACAACACGTGTGTTGTCCACAACGGCCACTCATACAATCACTCTCCGGGCTCACTCTTGCTTAGCTTCTGAGATCTGACGAGAATCCGGATGATTTGGTCTAAGGCTCACTCGCAATACATGTATCAAATTGCATGTTAAAAAGCTTTTATTTACAATGTATACACATGTTACATTTAGGCTAATGAGCGAATTCATGAGACAGTACAAGTGAGAAAAAAAGTTCCTGAATTGAATCGTCGATCACAAATTACGAAAATTCATCAAATTATCATGGGAGGGGTATTCATGGACTTTAGTAACATGGACTTTAGTAACATCTGTATATGCTGAGGATGCCTCCGTCACAACATAATTAAAGTGCAGGCCGGAAAAAAAAACGGCTAACGAAAACGTGTACAAGAAAAAAAACCTGTACGCGGCCTCTGTGCATTGTGTTAAAAACCATGAGCAGCAGTTCCTGAAGAGGTGCATTGTGGTCCTCTCGTCTTCGGCCACCGTCAACGTTGGTTTTGGCTGCTAGCCACCGAACAAAGACGGTGGTCACCGCATCGCGTGGCGCTTTCAGATGCGTTTCTGGGGCCGTCTGGAACGCTCTTCCTTCCGATATCAGGAAGCCGCTCGGAGCGATGCACTTTTAAATCATCATCTAGATTGACAAACTCATTTCTTTAGAACTGCTTTTAATGTTTAGTTTGTTGTCCTACCCCCGCACCTCTGATTAGCACGGTTGGCTACGTACGTTGCGAAACAAATTCAACATACACGCATGCAAAGTAAGTTTGAGCAAATGTGACCGATCGACAGGCAGCTGCGATACAGAGGCAGACAACAGCGGGCGGACCGGCGGCTGTCATTGTCAGCACTCATCGGCACAGTCCCTGCCTTGTAGAGGGCGGACGTGGACGCGGAGCCGACAGCCAGGGCCACCCCGACCACGGAGTCGTGGTTGAATCCGTCCACGTACTGCACGTAGACCATCATCACGATGCCGGCAATGGCCAGGATAGTGGCCACCATCTGCGGCAACGCGGGAGGCGGTGTGGGGGAGACATTGGTTAGTGAGGGACGTCCCGTGGCTGAGCGGCATTTGCCGGTGTGGTAATTGGTGATCACACTGAAGTGGCGGCATCTGCTCCACAGTGGACGTGAAAGATCCCGTGACGTCAGTCGCAATGAGTAGGCCACCGTTTGCCAGCGTAAAAATAAAAATACGAAATAATAATAATAACCCGCATAATTCATCCAAGCACTATCCAGGCTCGACCCCACTTCGCCACCGTGATGGGGGCGCATTCCAGGTTATGCGGTCGTAGAGTCGTCCCACTGACGACTCACGCTGCCAGTTATTCTAAGAAATCACGTAACGGCCCGCACGGCCAAGCCACGCGGGTATAAATGGGTGTCAGGGCAGAGAGTCGCGCGCGCACCCCGGGCACACGCGTGTGGCTAGGGCGGCACACGTGCAGCGGGGCCGTGCGCCACCAACTGCATCAAAGGTCGAGACGCACGTGACGTGACGCATCGATTACACTTGAAAGTGACGCGCAGGGCGGTGGTCAAGCACGCACATCAATAGCTTAAAACATTGGGGGGGGGGGGGGTGGAGGTTGCTTTATGTCATGCATCATTTAAATGTGTCGTTTCCTGGCCCATGAAGCACCAATTTCCCGCACCTCCGATCAGCACGGTTGGCTACCTACGGTACCAAGGAAGTTCAACACACACACACATACAGACACACATCAAAGTAAAAGGTCTTCCTGCATCAAGTGCCAGATTCCTAGCTCCCTCTGAAACCCCCCGAGTTGACAGCTCGGCAGACAAATGAATTGCACGCGAGCAGAGATGGACTGCAAGTTCGATGCAAATCGAGACGCAATAGATGCCGCGGGTATTGAGAGGTCCGTTCATTAACTAATGCGCCGCATCTGTGTGCGTTCGGCTGCAGTGGTTATTCGGTAGATGTCTAGTTTTAATCTAACCGTGCATGTGGCATCACCGTGCTATGAGCACGCTGATACGAGGTTGATTCACGGACGTAGCTAACATCAACGACTGCAGGGATTCATCTTCTTGGTTCTTTCGGTAAAGTCACGTAGAAGGGAAGTAATAAAATAATAAAAATAAAATAATAAAAATAAAACATATTATGTTTTATTTTTATTATTGTATTACTTCCCTTCTACGTGACTTTACCGAAAGAACCAAGAAGATCAACGACTGCTCATGAGCCCTGCCTTGGCCAACCGATCGGTAGCACGGTTGGCAACGTACGGTGCGAAAGAAGCTCAACATACATCGCAACCTGCTCTCATCATTGTGGTGAAGTATGGTCAAAAACAATCATGTGACTTGACAGGACTTTGAGTAGACCTTCATCCAGAAATTAATTGACAAAGAGCTCGGTATAATATATTTTCATTGCATCTATGTTGATTTTGTTCGCCACGACGTTTATCCATTTACTGAGCAATATGGTATTTTAAATGTAATTACTAATTAGTAATTCATGTCCAATGTATCCCAGCAAACCAGGAAGGAGGCTATGCATTAACAATTAAAGATCATGCCCCTGGAGTGAGAGAAAAAAGTAAGCCCTGGCTCCCATCGCAGGGATGTGGAATGTTGAGGTGGCCGCGTGGGTCAGAGGTCAGAGAGGTGATCTAACGCCGCTGTGAGATCCTGGATTTGAATCTGAGATCCAGCTGCCCGTGATTACACCGGGTCTTGAAGTTTAGCAAGTGAACGGTCTCAGCTCAGTCACCAATGACTGCAAATATTAACATTTGGTGTTTAAATTAATTTGGGTAATTCTGGAATTAGAATATCGGTTAGGCTGCCATGTGAGCAATGTCAATCTCATATGAAGGTGTGTGGGAAAGTACACCCCTGATTGACTAAAGATGACGAGGCGACATGAATATATATTTGTATGGAAGTTCCATGAAGTCTCCTACGTCCTTGGGCATGTGGGATCGCACTACGCCGCGAAAATTCCGAACAGCAGGACAAGCCGCTGGGAATGGGGGCACCATCCAATAATGAGCATATAAAAAATTTCAGCCAATTCTTTGCAAAATCATAACAGCGCTCTGACGCGTCAACGGGCTGCACCACGTAGAGCGAAACGTCAGACATCGTGCCGAACGACAGCACGCGCGACACGACACGAAAACCCATCGGTGAGCTGAACAGCAGCCACGAGAACCAACGCAGCGGCAGAAAAACAAATGTGACAACTGACTCTGCAAGCTGACGGTGGACGCCAGACAGACTAACGAGGAGGCCCAGCGTGACACGTCGCCGGCTTTCACGACCAATGGAATCGATAATAAAGGGGTTTTTGGGGGGGGGGAGCAGATCGTGTAAACATAAATGTGTCGTGAAAACCCGCCACCACCCGACACAGCCAATGAGTGAGTTCCGTCACGTAAACAAAACGTGCCAATTCGTATCTTATATTTCAATAGCGCATTGATCCAATTCGCTACGACTCCATCACGCGCGGGTGTGTTGGAGAGTTAAACGCCACGACGAGCCGAGAATCGATCTGGAGGCACTTGGGCCAGACGCGGGCGCTCTGCCTCACCCTGACGCCCACGAAGCGATCCTTGAGCACGATCCACGACAGCAGGAACACGAAGGCCTTGTTGCAGCAGAAGAGCGCCGAGGCGTCGCTGGGCGGCAGCTTGCGGAGCGACAGCAGGTACAGGTAGTGCGTGGCGAGCCACAGGGCGCAGAAGGGAGCCGCTCGCTTCACGAAGAGGCGCGCCGTGACGCCCTCCTCCCCCCGCAGCCGCACACACTCCCTGAGAATCAGAGTCGCAAACAGACGCGGAGGTTTGCCCTATTCCTGTCGCAGTCTCGCCCCACAGATTCCTCCACCCATGGCCGAGGACTCGGTGCATTACCACGCTGGCTTGTTTTGTCTCGTCCGCGAAGTGTTCACGCGCCTGCTGCTATAATGCAGGTCACAGCAACACACTCACGCGCCCAAGTTACCCACTCGCTCACCGCGCTCCACCACCCACTCCACCACCCACTCCATCACTCACTCCATCACCCGCTCACACGCCCAACCATTCATCTATCGCGGTGGTTCTTAACTTGGGGTGCACGCACTCCCTGGGGGTGCGAGACATGACATTTTTTTAGAAGTTAAATAATCGAAACACGAATTGGCACGTAAGTACAACTACTTTGTTTCATCAACCCTATGTATTTATTAACATTATACATTTTTTAACGATGAGAACCAAAGGAGCGCACGGCTGCAGTAAAGGTTAAGAACCACTGGTCTATCGCACTGATCATGGTTACTGTCCCCACTGCTTCCTCTGCCCACGCACACATTCAACATTTGTTTCCCTGCGCAGTATCCATGCTGCAGCCTACGCCCCTCTACACCCACGGTTTGAGAACCGCCGCTGAGCGCGCGTGTTAGCGAGACCTCCTCCGCCGCCGCCGCAGAAGAGACTGACAGTGTCAACGCTTTTGAGGTCTCACGCGGCGACCCCTCGGCCTGAGACGGTGTTCCGAACAAACTACAAACTAAAAAATCAACAACAGCAGCCACGTACCGAAAAATCTTAATGGGCGAACGCTTGTCGCCGCGGTGGCTGAGCACGTGCATGGCGTAGTAGATGGGGAAGAGCAGCACGTTCCAGGCGGTGGAAAACCACGCCAGGAAGAATGGCGCAGACACCTTGCAGAAGGCGAGGCGGGCGAGCTGACTGGCACCGACCAGGCACCCGGCCACGGACACCGAGACGAGAGCCCCCAGGGCGACCCGTGCCAGCACGCGGCTGGAGCACGGTGGCGCCCTGCGGACTGGGCAGCCGGGGCAGCAGCAGGAGCAGCGGGCGGCGCTCGCCTCGATCGCATCACGAGTCTCGTCCTCGAGTCTTGTTGGCTCTGGGCTGTCGTGTCTGGCCCTGCCTGCGCGGGGGAGGGGGGGCGGTAAGCGCGGCGCTGCGCTACAAACAACACGGCCACCAACACCGGTGACGATTATCTGAAGCGGTCCCGGGCCTCCCCTAGGTCGACTCAGCCTCAAATGAGTACCTGGTGCGGTGTGTAGAAATTAAACGTCGCCACTGGGGAGACAAAGGCGGTCGGGCGTGGTGCTGGCCACCCACCCCCTCTTGTGCCGTGCCGGCCTTCATAGGTGCTACTCGCTAACAGCACTTACCCCAACAGTCTGTTTAATCATCTACGAACTTAAGAGAACAGGAGGACAGCCTAATTTGCAAGAGCGACTTGGCGATGATTTGTTTGAGTGGTTCGCGGGCTACTTTTGGCACTGTGACAAGCTCGGACCCTCACCTACTCTTGTCCCACTCTTGCGACTGACGAACAGGGCATCTTTAACATTCGCTGCGAAGCGGTGAATCTCTTAGTGTGACACCCGCGGTGACCGTGAGGGCGGCGGCTGGTTTCGAACCCTGGCGCCTACACGCAACGACGTGGACACGCGGCCCTGGCGATGTTTCGCACTGCACGAGCAAACGTTGTGCCCGACCACGTCCCGACGTTCCGTGCGATGCGGCCAAGCGCGGCGCGTCTCTCGCTCACCTTCAGTGTGGCTGAGCGCCACCGTGGGTCCGCCGCAGGCAGTTAGAGGCGCCACTCTGGGCGAATGCTTCTTCATTGGTTTTGCTTTACCCTGCTGATGATGATAATGATGATGTTATTGCTGAAGCCACTGCTGCTGCTGATGATGATGATTCTGCTGATGATTACAGCGACCCCCGCGGACGCTTTCCTATCCAGCGCACGCACGTGAGTGTCCGCAGTGGAATAAACACCGTGCGCCCCACGTGCACAAATGCAAAGATCCCCCGTGTAGCCTAAACGGGCTGTTGGGACAAGTGCTGTCAGCGAGCAGCACCTATGAAGGCCGGCACGGCACACGAGGGGGTGGGTGGCCAGCACCACGCCCGACCGCCTTTGTCTCCCCAGTGGCGATTTTTTTTACTTTACACACCGCACCAGGTACTCATTTGAGGCTGAGTCGACCTAGTGGGAGGCCCATGTCCGGTTCAGAAAACCGCCACTGATGTTGGCCATGGGCGGGAATCGAACCCGAGTGGCTGGGGTTGTCGCGCAGCGCGCTAACTGCTCAATACCGCTCCGCACACACAAATAAACACACGCGCGTGTGTGTGTCCGCGTCTGTGCGTGCGCGTGTGCGCACACGCACGCGTCACACGCGCATAGATTTGCGCAAAAACAAACACTTGGCTCCAACCCCGCACTCGCGCAGCAGCAGCAGCGCATCTGTAGGCTCCTGTCTCCCTCCTGTGGATCTCACCACCACAGGCAAATGTGTCTCCTCCCAACCTTTCATCCTTTGCAGCTATCATGAAGACACTTCAGCAAGCATTGCAACGCCGCTACCCATAGCCGCGTGGCACCACAGACACAGTTGATGTTTGTTTCTTAGCGCTTGCTTGAACTCAGATGGTTTGCGGCATAACACCACTTCTTTCTCCCTGTGGTGCATCAATTAATGTCCTTTTCCATTTTTAAACAATAAAGAGGGTAAAGGTGCAGTACTGACAATGACTTGCTCACGTCACTGCTGGCGGAAGGGCCTCTATTATGTACAGGGAGCTTCTCTCGTGGAAGGTATTTGGCCTATTATTCCACACCTGCCAGATGTCTTGGAAGATGTTTTTGATATATATGCAGGGTTTCCCCCCCCCCATCCTCTTGATTTGATATTTTGTTACAGTCCTCCCCAGAACATTCATGACTATTAGATGGTTATTGTATGAAACTCGTTAATTGACAGGACACTCTTGAAAAAAAGTCACGCCACTTCGTGTGGCTCTCCTGCACAAATATGTGCATTGTTATTCATTGATAGATGGTGGTTATATCACACCATCACAACTGTTATTATTTTTACAATTCTGGACCGTTGTAGCAACCTTCGGCAATCATCTTCCTTGTGAACAATGCTTTTGTTTATGTAATAATAATGATGCTTCGGTAAGAATAACAATCACCAGCGGCAGTAGGAGTGTCATTTCCCAATAAAGGACTACTATGATGATCTGGTAATCATGTTTTTGTAAAGTAGAATAATAATCATCATGCTTGAAACCAATGATTTTGTTGGCAAAGGCCATTGCTTTGTATTTTCCCAAAAAAATATCAGCATCATAGGTATCTATATCACAATATCTCTGCATTATGAACGTTCGCCTATTAAAACAGCCCTTTCTGAATTAATTTCCGAAGGCTTTCCCAAGCCGTGTAGGTCGTGAGCGTTTATCGACCATACTTCACCACGCCGGTCACGGTAGGCTGATGATATTGTGCGGGGGCCAGGACCGGTTCAGATATTATTCACCACTGATGCTACCCGCTGCAGGGAATCTAACTCTGACATGCGGGTGCAGAGCGTCGTGCGCTAGCCACTGAGTCACCGCTTCACACACACAACTCCTGCCTTGCAAGCCACGCTTTTCTTTCCGAATACAATGCGTTTTTTTTTTAAATAAAAATCATCGTCATCATCATCGTCGTCCAATCCTGCACATATTCCGGCAATGTTTTGTGATCGTAACCTTCGCTTGAGCGGCAAATAATTGTTGTTAATCCGACGCCCGCAGCTTTGCTAGCAACGCCTTTGTCACCGGAGTCTATAATCAGAGTCGAACCATATCGTGGAGTTCCACTAACGCACGTGGATTTTCCGCAGGGCACCTGCCTCGACCACTCTCTCCGTCGACGCAGCAATGCTCCAGCGACACCCACAGACGGCACCCCGGTGTCTGTTGATGCAGCACGGTATACGCAGAAGGGTTGCGGTAGTGGTGTGGTGAGCGCGCTACACATCTGGCCACCCGAGTTCGATTCCCGCTCACGGCCAAGACCAGCGTCTGGTGCGGTGTGTAGTAAACATCGCCACTGGGGAGACAAAGGCGATCGGGCGTGGCGCTGGTCACCCAACTCCCCTCGTGTGCCGTGCCGGCCTTCCTATGTGCTCGCTAACAGCAGCACTTGCTCCTAAAATCTGTCAAGGTTAACCAGGGGGATCTTTGTATATGGTAATAATACAGCAGGAGCATTTGCTTCGCCGATGAGACCCAGAGTGTCGAATCCAGCCCAGCGTTTTACTTGCTTCAGCTAATGCTGCTGGATACGATTGCTCTGAAAAAAAAACCCCGATGGCCTTCAAGCAGAAGCGGTTCGTGTCCACTAGGAGCGATGGGGCGCCGCTCCACCGAGCAGCTGGACATAAGAAACGATTTTTCTAATACAAAAAAAAATACTTTTCTATTAATTGCTTTGTTGTGTTTAAAAAATAAATAGGTACATAATGATTATTTCAACGTGAACTCCCTACTGCAGATAAAATGTTAAGTTGTTCGTATTAAAAACCGCTGCAACGCCACGGTCTGATTTATTTGTGCCTCGCGGAGGTCTCGGGGCGGCTGTGAATGTGTCCGACTGAGAGATTTCCCCTTCTTGGTTCACTGCGATCAGCGTCTATCGTGGTAGCCACGCCGCTTGAGACCCATTCAGGACGGTGACAAAGGCGCCCGTGGCCGTGACGAGTCGCGAGGGTGCATCGTGCAGAGAGATCGGCTCACAGCCGAGACGATCGATTAGTCAGTGTCAGAGGGGGGTGTGTAGTGTGGACTTGAGGGTCATGGGGACAGCATGTATGTGCGTTGTTATTTTGTTTCGTGTTGTTCATAAATGTCTACCGTGTTGGTAGAAAAATTAACCCGTAAAAACAAAGTTTTTCACTATAAATCCTTTATATGCGTGGCGGCTAGAGTCCTCTCGTCCTCTGGCTTGAGATGGCTGCCACCTATGGGTCAGATGATTGTCTGCAGTATTAAACAATTGGTAATTAAATATTTAATTTGTTTTCCCTAAACAGTGTAAAATTTTGGAAAAAAAATTTCACGAACATTAATTGTCTCGCACAACGAGTATGTGTGCAAAATGTCAGCTCGATTGGATCAAGGGAAATGGGTTAAAAAACGACCGAAAGATTTGCAAGGTCGTAAGCGCGCAAGCAAGCAAGTGAACTTAATATAAAGGATTTAATAAGACAGTTATATCACGGGAGGGCCAATAACATGGCGAGGTTTTTGTTTTTACAGATGTCACTCACAACAGCCACGCCTAGTGGACATGCCACGAGCCGCCACTGACTAAATGTCCCTAATCTCTCTCTCTCTCTAATCTCCCCCATTAACACAACTGACGTGCTTGCGTCCGGGGATGGGATTCCTTTCTAGCTCAGACCCCGCTTGCTTGCCCATCGCCACATAAATCACCTCTTGTTGTAACAGCTCTCTCGCTGGTTCAGCAGTTCCACTGCTGGATAATTTTTTTCCGCCTGAGGACGACCGCTTGTGTTGCGATCGAAACGTCGTGATGTGTTTTTTTGTTTTATTTTTCTTCCTACGTGACTTTACCGAAAGAACCAAAGAGTATAAATGTATTTTGTTTCGATTTAAAGCTTTCGTGACTGCAGGGATTCATCTTCTTGGTTCTTTCGGTAAAGTCACGTCGTGAGAATTGTATTTTATAATGTTTTATTATTTTATTATTTTATTATTTCCCTTCTACGTGACTTTACCGAAAGAACCAAGAAGATGTAATGTGTTTATTGTGTTTGTTGTGGGCGGCAGCGGTAATCCGGAGTTCGATCCCCGACTCGGGCCACCTTCCGAGCGTGCAGTTTGTGAGTTTCTCTCTCCCTGCTCTGCATGGCTGCGATTTCCTCCCATAGCTAAACAAACAGACAGAAAGCCATACAGCGTCACTGGTTTTGGCCAAACATCACAATGCTGAACATTTTACCTGTCAAACGACGTACTCATTTGAGATTACACACACAGCAGCAGCAGCAACATCGCCACCCGCCTACGAAGTCAGGAACCCCTCTTGAATTATTGGAGACTCAACGGAGCTGTGATCAGTGTCCGTGCAGTGGCAAGACTCTGCCCCTAGATGGCAATGCAAGATCGAGATATCCGCTACCGTCTGCACGTCAAGTTCACATCTGACGGCATACCGTACACATGCAGCCCTACTATGAGCGTATGACCACAGCTACAGACTTAGTGCTGCTTGGAAGCGAATCATCAAATAATGCATTATTTAAATGCATGCCTATACTGGTCACTATACTTCAAATAGGGATTAACGTTGAACATTAACTGGCACGGCTATTTGAGTGCGCACAATGGACAGGAGGTACAAGAACAACGGGCTTGCATAATGGACATGCATAATGTACGTTGATTACCATATATATAACACAACCGGCAATGGATACCCATAGTCATTATATGCATTCGTTCATCCCCACCACCACTTCGCTCACGAAGGGCACACAAGTGACCTCATCACATCTACCCCTCTATTTGAGGAAAGAAACAGGAGAATTTCTCCACATATCTGGCTATTTGCCTGATGAAGCTAGTTGTAATTACTGACGAAACATCGTACTCAGATTGTAATTGTTGTGGCTTTGCTCTCCAACACACCGGCGTGCTGTACAAGTGACGAATTGGCCACGTTCTGTTTACGTGACAAACCTTACTAGTTGGCTGTGTCGGGTGGTGGCGGGTTTAACGACACATTTATATATTTACGCGACCTAACCCAAGACACCTGTATTACGGATTATATTAGTCACAGCCAGTGTACGCGTTCAGCCACGTTTGTCAATCCACTGCTGCATGAGTGCCTGCCCGCGCCATGCGGGTCGTGTGTGGGGTGGGCAGGTGATTTGTCCATACTTCACCACTCTGCTCAGTGCTGGTTGGTGAAGGCGGGGAACGTCAACGGGGAGGCATCGGCGTGGGTGCTGCACTGCCCTGTGCTGCCCAAGTGCTCGCGAACAGCACTTGCCCCAACAAACTGTTGAAAGGCTATACGGGGTATCTTTGTCTTTGCTGGACACCACGAACCCGAAACGGTAATACGGTCTGTAACTTCATTTTGTCTCCACAACAAATGACGTCGAACTGATTCAACATTGCGGATATTCATTCAGGGGAAATTTCAACGGATTCTCTACATCATTGCGTCAAACGTGGAATCAAGGCAAACATTTCCATCACAGTTGAAGGATTTGCTGGCGTCACTTAACCGCTTGGGAACACGAACACAACGTGAATAGATGTCGTTCGCAAATGTGGCCCATGTAGGCCATCCTTCAAAGGGCCGAGCAGATGGAAATCTGTGGGTGACACCTCTGAGCTGGTGGATGGGACAGCGCAGTCCACAGAGCTGTAATGTAGTACACAATACCTGTGTGTAGTACACAATACCCCCTGTATGTACTCAGGCTTAAAATGTGGCCCTGAATTGTTGTGTAGGAAAACTTCTGGAACCATGGCAGGGCCCTCCTGAAAATTAGTCCTGAGACTCATCGAGGTTTGGCTGGGTATTTTTATTTTTTAACCAGGTAAGGTCCCACTGAGCTATACAGCTCTTTTTGAGAAGCGACTTGGCCACAAATGATAGCTCAACGAAGTGGCTTATCGTGTGGAAATGTGTAGCAGCAAAATACTCGAAACGCATCTTTCTAAACGTCGTGGGGAAAACCGGAGGACCCGGAGGAAAATGTACGTGACTACGGGAAGAATATGCAACCTCCAAATATACAGCAGGCGTCAGGGCTGGGATCGAACCCGTGCGCTTCTGTATACCAAGCGAGGCAGCTAACATCTCGCCACCGTAGCAAGATGTTAACTGCCTTAAAATCACCCCAAACAAGTGAAATTCAACAAAAAAAAATCCACCAAAGTGCCGCAAAAATTGACCACAACCACCGCGATCACAAAGTCCGAATGTTATTACAAAAACAACAACAACAACAATAACGGGTGCGACAACTCACCCAGGTGCGAGCAGGAGATGAGTGAATCTCTGCGGCTGCACGCGAGCCCTGCCCGCGGCGCGTAGTGGCCGTAGCAGCTTCCCGTGATGCGCATGATGCGCTGCTCGATGGACGCGAGACCCCCCGTGACGCTGGGCACGTCCAGGAAGGAGCGAGACGCGCGGACCCCGTCCGCCCCGGGGAAGCCCCCCCACGTCTCGCGCGCCGCGTGCAGCGAGCGCAACTGCCCCAGCTGCGGGCTGATGTCCGACAGGCGCCGCATGGGGAACACGTGGGCAGGCACGGCTGCTGCTGCTGGGGCTACTGCTGCTGCTGCTGCTGGGGCTACTGCTGCTGCTGCTGCTTCTGCGAGGATGGTCTTTGGCTGTAGGTGTCCTCGGATGCAGATGGTCCTGTTGCAGCTGGTTCGGATGCAGATGGCCCTGTGGCAAAAGGTTCAGGTGGAGGTTTCTCGGATGTAGATGGTCCTGTTGTAGCTGGTTCGGATGTAGATGGTCCTGCTGCAAGAGGTTCAGATGAAGGTGTCTCGGATGTAGAGGGTCCTGTTGCAGCTGGTTCGGATTTAGATGATCCTGTTGCAAGAGGTCCAGGTGGAGGTCTCTAGGATGCAGATGGTCCTGCTGCAGATGGTACGGATACAGATGATCCTGTTCCAGGTGGTTCAGATGAAGGTGTCTCGTATGATGATGGTCCTGTTGCAAGTGGTTCGCATGCGGCTGTTTTCAATGTAGGTGTCTGTTTCAGATGTCTTCAACGGCTGGTGCACGAGTGTCCTGCAACAGGTGTCTCCGTTGCAGCTGTCTTAAATGTAGGTGTCTCACGTGTATTGGTGTCTTTTTTGCAAGTGGTCCTGCTGCATGTGTGTCGGATAAAGGTGTTTTTGTTGCGTTTGTCCTGGCTGTGTGTTGTCTGATGCATGTGTCCCAGCTGTACGTCTCTGATGTAGATGTCCGAGCTGCAGTTGTTCCGCGTTGCAGGTAACTTCGAAGCAACTATCCGTCTGATGCAGGTTTCTCGACAGCAAGCCTCTGATGCAGGCGTCCCGGCTGCAACTGCAGGTGCAATTTCACCCGGCACACCACACTCAGTATATATCTCGCTGTGGCTGTGTCTGCAGGTCACGTGCTACCTACTCCGGTGTCAATCATCGACCAGGAAAATTAAGTGTCATCACCCGGCACACCGCATCCAGGATCACCTCTCGCTATAGCTGCGGCATCGATATTAGTCACACGCCAGCCGACCCCAGCGCTTGGCGTGCAAGTGTCGCGGTCTTTCCAATTGCCGACTCTACTCGCACAGCCTCGATCATCGCCGCTGCCAACGCAGAGCTGCGTTACAATACAGGGGTGGCCGCCTCTTCTTGGCCGCTGTCTCACGCTCTCCGCAACTGCTGTGTGTAGTATACAGCCACGCAGCACCGCCGTGCTAATGCGTTCACAGTGCCCTGCTCCTAAGAGCTTCTTCCGATGCGCTTCCCCCTGCCTCTGCGTGATGTGACGGCGTGCCTCTCCGAGAGTCCGGGTGTGGTTCGTGTAAAGTCGCACGCCGGTGTTGACCCAGTGTATCTGTCTCTTTAATCTATGGGTCTACGGCAACCCCATTCGAGAGTGTATTTAGTGTTCCGCTAAAGAACGTACAGACATTTGCTCATCCACTGCTGGATGAGTTGCCACTCGATGCCACAGCCGAATAACCCTCCTCTCTTTATCCCACCATCATCACGTCCGTGCCGAACTCTCTGTCTCGCCCGCTGTGCATCTGATTCTCCGTCTGCATCCTCAACGTGAATGCGTAAAATCGACTCCACTCCTTCCCAAGTCTCACCTGCCTGACGTCGTCAAATTGCAAGCCGAATGCGCAGCAGCAGCAGTAGTAGCAGCAGCAGCAGGGCGCTCCGTGTCTCCCTTGCAGCTTTCGTGAATGACTCCGCGGCGCGCGCATCCGTGGCACTTTCCCGACAATTCACCTGCGAGTGAGTGGCGGTGACACCACGAGCGAGCGAGCGAGTGAATGAGCGGCGTCGTCTACTCACGGCCGAGCAAGTGGGCAATGGATAAGCGTGTTGCTTCTACTGCTGCAGCAGCAGCAGTGGCGGGCATGAGCAGACGCAGCAGCAGCAGTAGCAACAACAGCGGATGCAATAACAGCAGCAATAGCACCCACGCGCTTATAGGTCAACGATGAATATTCACTCCCCTCCGCGCGTCTCATATGCTCCAGAGTAACCAATTAAAATTACTTACATTCATCTTTAATTGGCCACCGGCGAAATACTTTTTTTTAAGGGGGAGAATTTCTCCCAAAACGCATTACATAATGCTGAAATTACATTAAAAAAATACGCAGAAGCGCCTGCGGCTCGGTCTGCTGATACATCGTTGAAGGCGTAAAGCGATGCGAGCGGGATGATAAAGAAACCACGATTCGTCCAATTTAAGAATCAGTTTGCAAGTGTTCTCGACGATAGCTAATTCATGATGTTTATTTATAGCCCGATGCGAATTGCCCCAGGCGTGCGCGTATCGGTGTCAAGTAAGAACACAATGTGTCATCATTATCTTTTATCTCGACATGCACGGACAGAGAAGAGCCGCCACCTGTCAATGTGCCTCCACTCCCCGTGCACCAACACCAAAGGAAAAGATCCCCCGTAAAGCCTTTAACGAACTGTTGGGGCAAGTGCTGTTTGGGATGACACATGAAGGCCGGCACGGCACCACGAGCGGGTGGGTTGGCCAACACCACGCCCGACCGCCTTAGTCTCCTCGGTGTTGATGTTTACACACCCGCACACCCATTTAAGGCTGAATCTACCTAGGGGAGGAACAGGACCGGTTCCGATATTCGTCCCTGATATTGTTCGCAAGCGGGAATCGAACTCGTGCCGCCGAGTTCATCGCACACACGGTGCGCTAACCACTGCACCACTGCACCACCACGACTACTACTATCTCACCACCGGCACTGCACAGCCGTTAGATGTTTTTACTACCCACGGGGGCTCGCTCGGGCTGGAGTTGGAGTTTATAGGATGAATCACTCGCTGCACGGGAATTCAACACAAAAAAAACATGGCAACATTTGACGCATTATAGCCAGTGATGTATTTCAGTCCAGAACAGTCTGGAACATTTTTCCTGGAGTTACTATCAGTGGTGACTGATATCTGAACGTCTCCTGGATGCGCTTTACAACGGCTAGCGTGGTTGAAATATAGTCAATCACCACCCATGATGGACATGGCAGTAAATTATTATTACATATATTTTCTGCTGTGACCCGTGAATCAGAATACGTGGACTCTGATAAAGACCATGGATATAAGCTGAAACCACACACACAGAAGCCTGGGGAGATGCATGCTGGAAATTTTGAACGAGGAACACATGGGTCAGAAGCATCATGCGGACTGTAAGAAATGGAAGCATGCGCACCAGACTGGTGATGGAATTTCAGCTCAAGGAAGAAACAAATAATACTGGTAGGAACCACTTGGTTCCACCAGCCCACAGGGGATTATTGTGTCCGTTCGTCCGTCGTGCATCCAAAAATGGGAGGGGTGGGGCTGGGTGGAGAGGGGAGGGTGGGAGGGGGCTGGGTGGGGAGAGGCTGGGTGGGGAGGGGCTGGGTGGGGAGGGGAGGGGCTGGGTGGGGGGGCTGGGTGGGGGGGCTGGGAGGGGAGGGGCTGCTCACCCGTGGTGCCCTTATAAAACTCAACGTTTAACCTACTCACGCCGGCTTGTGACCGCCCTCACAGTCGGGCATAATTGCGGAGTACACCACGCCGTCGTTGACCCTGGCCATTGACCGAGCAACCCAACGTTCCTACCAGCTCCCTCCGCAGGAGGAATGTGTGTTATTTTGTGCTCTACTCATTGGTCAAACGGCCTTCTCTGAGCGCACCCTATCAGCGGCATCTGTCCGATACAAGCAGACTCGAGATCGGTCTTGACATTCATTGACTCGTAAAAAAATCAGCCTTGCTTTGGCCAAAGCTGGTAAACCGCCAGATGTGAGAGACAAATATGGGAAGGAAGCATGATGTTTTATTAATTTTAAATTATGTATCCATGGAATGGCCTACGGGCAGCGCGGTCGACGCTGGCTCCAGAGGTACACGGTTCGAATCCAGCGACCGCCCTCATTATTACTGTGGGTCGATTAACCACATACATACAAAGCGCCGTCTGCTTCACACTGACCATTAAAGGTCCCCTGACGTTAAGCATAAGAGTTAGACCATTATGTGGTGGTGTCATGATCCAAATTTGGACAAATTTGAAAAATGACCCGCAAATTTCTCATTTGGAATAGACAGAGCAATTAGATTATCGCCCCTTACTGTAAAAAAACTTGGCAGGATCCTGCTGAAAATTATTCATGAGCCTCGGTGATTTCATTTTCGTGAGTCAACAAGCTTTCAGATGCGCTTCCGCGGCTATCCGGAACGCTCTGCCTTGCGATATTATGAAACCGCTGGAGCTATGCACTTTTACATAATTTAGATTGAAAACTCATTTATTGAGAACTGATTTATGTGTTTCTTTGTTGTCCTTCCCCCCGCACCTCCGTTCTGTACGGTTGGCTACGTACGGTGCAACATACATACAAGCATATTCATATGTCACCATTGGAACCTCATTTGCCAGTAGCAAAATATGATCATTGTTTTTTAACCCTTTTATCTGGCAACAAAACTGACGCCTTTTTTTACAAGGAGTCATGTTTGCATTGATCAGAATACCTTCAGTCGGAATGAAAACAAAAATATAACTCTGATAATGTATGCACTGTCTTTGAAATTGATTGGTTCACACTCAAAATACTCGGTGTGCATACATTATCAGAGTTATGTTTTTTTGCATTCCTACTGCAGGTATTGTGGTCAATGCAAACATGACTCCTTGTAAAAAAAAGTGTCAGTTTTGTTGCCAGATTAAAGGGTAAAAAACTAATTATCCTATTCATATGTGTTGTATGATGCTAGCAGCATTACACCAGCCCCAGCAGTGCTGGCATTGGTTGCGTAAACCCCCCACAGCCTCTCGTGCATGGCTTGATCAGAAGCGATGCTCTGACATATCAAAGAAATCTATTTTTGAACGTCTTTGTGAAATAGGCGAGATAAGATCAATGATCTCGGTTGGGCGAGCGGATTGTGTCCAGTGTCAGCTGTCAAATAATAATACTAATGTTGTTCTGCTGTGCATGGCGAAACAAAGACATTTAAATATTCATTATGTCCACCCACAGTCGATGTCGTTGTGAAATCGACCGTGCCAGGGGATGTGCGTGCAATAAATATGGTGATTCGATTCTCGGGAGTAATTTTTTTTGTTACAAGCTGCATTTGCACAAGCAAGAAAGTTCATCGATGGCATACATTTAAATATACTGTACGTGTAGTATATGTGTGAACGCGTGGCTGAAATTCAACCGAAGTTTCTGGGGCTGAGGTGCAAAATATATATCAACAACATGCTACCCCTTCCCACCTTCGGACCAAGGAACTGGGAGCTGCAGCAAAGATTCCATGAGAAATGTACGTCCCATGTAGGCGTGCAGGCCCTTTGTCAAACCAATGCTGAAAGAGGGCCTCTCTAAGCTGTGCGAGTTGTGGGGGTCGTTTGACCATACTTCACTATGCTGGTCAGTATGGGTTGGGGGAGGGGTGGTAACAGAAACGTTGGAGCATAGTACAGTACAAGACTGGATTGTGCAGCACTGCCCACCGCTGACAAAGTAGCGGTGAGGTTTGGCTGTCCAGTCCAGTGCTGTGCAACCTCCATCCTTGACTCACACAGAAACCCGAAGCTCATTCGCCTCCAACGCAAATCAATGATGAGGAATACCCACAGCCATTCGTCATCATTAACAACATCGTCGTCTGCATACACACAGTCGAGTTTGTAGCTCGTCAGTCCAATTTTAAAACGAATTATAATCATTCCTTTCCGGCAACCAAGTGCAGAAAATAAACAACCGGGTTGCACATTTTAAAGCTGACGCCGATTGGCAAGACTTGCAGCATCCTGGCTTGCGGTCAGCGTCACGTGTGTGGGCTTTCTGACAAATCGCCCGATGATGCTGGATGTAATTACCAGCGAAACGTCGTACTACTCAAATTGTCAATGTTCTAGATTTACTCTCCAACACACCGGTGAGCTGAAGTGGTAACTAATTGGCGCGTTTTGTTTACGTGGCAAATCCCTTACTCGTTGGCTGTGTCGGGTGGTGGAGGGTTACGAAACATTTATACTGACGCTATCTAAGCCAACAACCTTGATTGTGAACTGGCTTGCGGTGTCGGCGCACTTCCCTCTCAACGTACAACGGGCGGGGCCAAACGTTGCTGGCAGGTGGTTGGCACCGTTGGCTAAAGTTGGCCCAGTGTTCAGTGTTTCGTGGTTTTCCACTTTATCTCGCTTCTTGTTGTCCTCCCATCAGTCCAAGAGGGACAATGCGGTTACATTAACTCCCCCCCCCCCCCCATCTGGATGAAGGCTTTCGCCACGTCTCACCACCCATGATTCTATAAGTCACCATGCTGGTCAGTATAATAATGATGATGGCTGTGGTGGTGGTAGTATCAGTGTCAATTGCACGTTTAAGTAATTTGGACTTAACGCAGTTGATGTTTCTTCACGAGACATCAGTTCGCATGCACCACGACCAATGTGGAAACTTCGCCCACGTGTATCGGTGAAACCCAGAAAAGGACTGGCAGACAGATTGAGGAACCAACCAAGTACTCTCGCCATTCCCAGCCTCACACGCTCTCACGAGTTACAGAATATCTAATATTCACGGGGACACAGCCTCTCTGCAGTCATCACATGTGGCTCGCTAGGATGCTGTGCTTTGTTTTCAGGGTATCTCGCATGTTGGCCATCGTTTATGAAGGATCTCCCATCACACGGAGTTAAACGTGGGACACCAGGCCAAACAACACGGCACAACCCAAAAACACATCGGATAACCATGTGGTCTGTTGTCCAACTTAACAGATGAATTCTCTCGGTCAGAGGCAAGACTCACGTTGACGCTCAGGATGAACGAGCATCTTGGTCTTGACACCTACCTATCATAATCTTGAGACTGGAGAAATCCGATGAGCTGTGAAGCTCTTTTCCAGTAAACCTATATAGACAATCCCCTTTAACATTTGTAGTGACCAACTCGGAGACA